ATCCCACAACAACTACCAACCAAACAACCCACCAAACAACTAACAACCCAACAACTATCAACTAAACCACTATTGGTATCAGTAGATCCAAAGTTAATAAATAAAGCATCACCACCAACAACATCACAACAACCAAATAATTCAATACCAACAACATCATCATATAGATCTGTTTTAAAACCATCTAATATTTTAAAGTATTCCAAAAACGTTATCGAGGAAACCCTTTATAGACCATCAGCTAATGAAAATCAATCTAAAAATTTAGTACAAGATCAAGAAACTCAACAATATATTAATTTATTGACTATTGGTTTTAAAAAGTTATTTGAAACAAATCAAAAAGACGGGGCATGTATTATTAGTAATTTTTCAAAAGAAGATTTTAATCAAGAAACCAATATTAAAATCCCAATTGATTCAGGTGAAGATTTAGATGAAGAACAGATTATAAATCAATTCCATCTTTTAGAACCAGAATCCACATCTGAAAGTTCATCATCAACAGCTACAACAATAGCAAGAACAACAGATTTATTAAATACAACTATAACCTCACCAACAGTCGCTTCAAACACAAAGCTATCATCTACAGCATCATCAACATCCTCATTATCAGATAAATGGCAGTTTACAATATTCTCACCAAAAGTTTTTAAAGCAATAAGAAAATATTATAATGTCGACAACGATTTCCTTAGAACCAAATCATCAATAGGCAGCCCAGATATATCTGATATTGTAAAGTTTTTAGAGGTTCAAACTGTGGGTAGAAGTGGTAGCTTTTTCTATAAATCAGAGGACTCCAAATACTTTTTAAAAACAATTCCATCAAGCGAGTATGAAACATTCACTAAATTATTTCCATCATACTATCAACACATTATGAAGTATCCAAATTCTTTGCTTCCAAGATTCTTGGGAGTATATCGTTTAAAGGGTAAATTAAAATTAAGTGGTGCTTCCTATTATAATAGTTCCCATAGAGATATCATATTTGTTGTAATGGTCAATCTTTTCTATTCTGAACAAAAGTTGGAAATTAAAGAAAAATATGATTTAAAAGGTTCAACAATAGGTAGATATGTTGATGTTAATAAATTAGCAAAGGAGCAACAACATAATCACCATCAAAATGGTACAGGTAGTTTGAATACAAGTAATAGTAGCAATCAAATAAATCGTGTAGATAATAGTATTAATATTCAAACTCAGGATTTAACATTCAAGGATTTAAATTTAAAAAGAAAGATTCATTTAGGTAAATTAAAAAAAGTATTTATACAACAATTATCAATTGACTCTGAATGGATGTGCAGCCATGGTATATGTGATTACAGTTTATTGGTTGGTTTACATATTAGTGACAACAAAACAATTCAAACTCTTAAAGAATCTCAAGGTCCAAAGTCACTTGAGAAAAAAGATATATCCTATTTCAAAAAGGATTTTAATGGCATTGTTGAAAGAATTCATACCCCTCCACAAACAACTTCAAATATAATTTATAGATCGAATACCGAAGAAAGTGATGGAGGTATAGTTTATTATTTAGGTTTAATTGATATCCTAACTACTTATAATTTAAAAAAGCGTGGTGAAAATGCTTTAAAAGGAATTTTCTTTGATAGAGTAAGTTTAATATTAAATTTAATATTTTTTTTAATAAGTTATCTCAATACTAATATTATCTTTTATTTTTTTTCTTTTTTAGACTAAAATATCAGCAGTTAACCCAAAAGATTACCAAAGTAGATTTATAAAATATATTGAATCAATATTTGATTAATATAATAGTATTTTTTGTTCCTTATATATAAAAATAAAAATAAAGATAAAAATAAAAATAAATTAAGTTATATTTTTAGAAATTAAAAAAAAAAAAAATATATATTTTTCTTTTTTTATTTTGTTTTTTTTTTTATTATGCACATAAAGAGTAAAGAGAAAAAAAAAATAGAGAAATTAATTTCATATAGCAATTTTGGGTGGATGTGTGTTAATTTGTGTGCGAATGTGTATATATATTTTTCTTTTTTTATTTTTAGTGTAATGAACAAGGATCATTACTCAATAACAATCAACATTAATTAATAATAATTAACAATTATTTTAATTCATCAAAAAAGAATTTTTAAAAAAAATAAATTTTTAAAAAAAAATAAAAAAATAAAAATAATAAAAACTTTTTAGTTTTCGAATTTTACAAAAACATAAACATTTCATATAAATTTTATTTTATTTAATTATTTGATCTTAGTACCTTACACTTTTTTTTTTATAATCAGTTTTTGTTATATCCTTGCCGGCAGGACATAATAAAATCACGTAGGGTCAAATTATAATTAAAATTTAAATAGTTACGAGAAAAAAACCGAAAAATTTACGAGAATTAGTATAAAATAGAAAATCAATTAACGAGTTTAGAGAAAGAAGATATTCAAAAGATGTTGTATATGGGTAATGAAAGATTATCAAGGCAAGAAGATAAATCGAAATGTCATTGATTAGTTATTCCAATGTTACATTATAGACCAAATAAGATACAAGTATTGTTCCAGAAGAATCAAGTTTAGCATCATCAATAGAATTAGAAAAGATTAAGTTAACAAAAATGCAGAAATTATTAATGAAGCAATTATTTGTATATTCAGTAAAGCGTAATAAAGATGATAATAAGATTGAAGTAACTAAATCGAAAAAGGTAATTGATGAGTATAAGAATATAGAAAAGTTATAAATAACAGTAAAGATAATAGTAATAAAAATAATAATTCAGATAAAAGGATAATAAAGATAGTAATAAAGATAGTAATAAAATATTATCCTTACTGTTATTTATAACTTCTTCTATATTATACTACTGTCTTTATCTGAATTACTATTTTTATTACTATCCTTACTGTTATTTATAACTTTTCTATATTTTACTACTGTCTTTATCTGAATTACTATTTTTTACTACGATAGTAATAAAGATAGTAATTCAGATTAAGATGAAGAAGTTATAAATAACAGTAAGGATAGTAATAAAATATTAATTCAGATAAAGACAGTAGTAAAATATAAAAAAAGTTATAAATAACAAAAAGATAATAGTAATAAAAATAAGAATTCAGATAAAGACATTAGTAAGATTATATTGTGCAAGAGAACAATAATAGAATGGAAATGATAGTGTATTCGTAATTACAGATAGGTGAAGTAAAATGGTTAAGAGTATACCGTGCAAGAGAACATTAAAATGTAATGTATTCATATGCATTTTAGAATTAAATGAATATTACAGTTATAATTATGCAGTGGAAGCTTTTTGTTGGAACTTTACATTCTAACATTATTGAATGTAGTCTCCGGAAAGATAAAAACTTTTTAAAAAAAAAAACTCCCCGTCCGGGAATTGAACCCGGGCCTTTCGCGTGACAGGCGAAAATCCTCACCACTAGACCAACGGGGAAGAGATATAAAATTTAGAATTTTTACCCCATTATAGATCGGATCACTAATATCATAAACAAAGCATTATTTGTGTATAAAAATGCATTGTTTGTGTTGTTTAATTAGTATTTTCAAGATTTACACAATTATGAACAATAATTATAAATATTGTGTAAATTCTATTTTAATTTAATAGTAAAAATATGTACTTTTTATTTTTTCTTATTTTATTTTTTCTTTTTATTTTTATTTATTTTTTATTTTTCTTATAAAAAAAAACAGGTTAAATTTTTATGGAAAGGTTATTAATTTTTATCTTTTTTTTTTAATATTTTTCTTATTTTTAATAAAATTTAATTTTATTCTAATAATATTATATTTTCATAAAACTATATTATAATAAATAAAAATAAAAATATTTAAATTGTTTAAAATTGAGGATAATGGACAAAGTTATAAATATATTGAAATTTTTTATTTTAAAATATTTAAGAAAAAAAATAAAATAAATATTTTTTTTTTGCATTTTAAACTTGATGAAAGCTTAAGTATCAATTATATATTAATTTTAATCATATATTTTCCTTCTAAATTTTCCAGTGTGGTTAAAACAAAAAAATTTCAAAATAAATATAAACCATAAAAAATAAAGTTAATCGCCTAAATTTTTTTTTTTTTTTTATTTTCAAAAAAAAAGATTTTTTAAAAATAAATTTTTTTTTAATTTTTTTACATTAATTTTTTTTATTAAAAATTTTTTTTTTTTTTTTTGTTTTTGATTGCAACACAGTTTTTTTTTTTTTTTAAAATAAAATCACCTTTGTTTTATATTGGAGATATAAATCATTCACAGCTATTTTTCAATTAAACATTTTTTTGCCACATAAAAAAACCTATGCCATAATATCTTTTTTTTTTTTTTTTTTTTTTTATTATTTGAAATTTGTGATATCTTTGCAAAAAGGAAATGATTTTAATTAATAGTAAATTTTTATTGGACCATAATAATCTTTTAGTGTAGGTGTCTTTTACTTTTTGAACCATCTTTCTTCAATAATAAAGGAATATTGCATTAAACTAATAAAGCTCTATATAAAAAATAATATAACTAAAATTTTTTTTTTTTTCACGCTACAATTAAAATTTTCTTTTTATTATTTTATATTTTTAAAATTTTTTTATATATTTTATAAATATATTAATTAACTATAAAATGATTGAAAATAATATAGATATATCATCAAAATCATATAGGGATGATTGTGATGTAGCAATAGTAGGTTTAGGACTTAGATTACCTGGTAATTCAAATAGAACATCAGAACTATGGGATAATTTATTAAATGGTTTCGATGGTATCGTTGAAACTAACGAAAGATGGAGCGATACATTTAATGCAATGGGCGAAATTGCAAGTAAAGAAGCAGGTTTACTCGAACTTGAAGGTAAACATTCATTATTTAAATAAAATAACAAATTTAAATTTATAATTCATTTTATTAACTAATATTTTATAATTATTATAGAGTGGATGAGTTTTGATCCATTACATTTCGGTATTAATCCAGCAGAGGCCAAACAAATTGACCCACAGCAAAAGCTATTACTTAAAACAACTTGGGAAGGTATGAAATAATTTAAATAAATATTTATATAATCTTATAATAAATATTAATAGAGTCGTTTTATTTAATTTTTTCTTATTTAATAGCATTCGAGGATGCTGGTATAGATCCATTAACATTAAGAGGCACATCAACATCAGTGTTTGTTGGTGCTTCCTCTCAAGACTATGGTATTATGTATATGGACCATAGCGAAGAATTGGTAAATTATAATGTATTTAATTCAAATTTAGGAGGTTTTGCAAATAGAATTTCGTACTGTTTTGATTTTCGAGGTACATCATTAACTGTAGACACTGCATGTTCAAGTTCATTAAATGCATGTACTTTAGCTTACAAGTCGATTGTCAATGGAGATTCAGACTATTCTATTGTTGGAGGTTCCAATTTAATATTAAGTATGTATCGATTTTAACTACTATAGTCTTTTTTTCTTTTTTTGTCAATATTATAAAACTTTTTATTTATATTTTTTTAAATTTTTTATAGACCCACAAATTTCTAAAGCATTTACATCAATTAACATTATTGGTAAGTCTGGTAGATGTAAAGCATTCGATGAATCAGCAGATGGTTTTGTACGTGCTGAAGGTGTTGCTGTTTTAATTCTAAAAAAGCTATCACTTGCACAAGCTGATGGTGACCAAATTTATGCAGTCATAAGAGGTTGTAATTCAAATGTTGATGGTACATTAAATAAAGGTAATTTTATGAAGCCATCAAAAACAGCTCAAACAAATAATATTATCAAAGCATTCGAATCAACTAAAGGCTCACTCCAATATTCAGACATTGATTTCTTTGAAGTACACGGTACTGGAACACCAATTGGCGATCCAATTGAAGTAGAAGCTGTAGCTGATGTATTTAAATCAGTTAAAACACCTGACAACCCATTGTTAATTGGCTCAATTAAAAGCAATATTGGTCATCTTGAACCAGCATCAGGTGTCGCATCATTAGCCAAGTGCTGTTTAATGTTAAAAAACCGTCAGTTTGTAAAAAATATTCATTTTGAAAAACCAAATCCAAACATCAAATTTGAAGAATGGAATGTCAAAGTTTGTACAGAAAACACTGAATTCCCAAACAATAAACAAGTATCAGTTGCAATCAACAGTTTCGGTATTACTGGTTCGAATGTATGCATTCTTTTATCTGAATATAATAATAGTGTTGTACCAAGTAAAAACAATACAAAACCAACAACAATATTGATCCCAATTTCAGCCAACTCGAAAAAGTCACTAGATCAACTCAAAGATGAAATAATTGGAAATTCAACATTATATTCAAATACCATAGATTTCAAAGATTTTGTTTATAATCAATTATATTCAAAATCAACACAGCTAGTCCAAAGATCAGTATTTATTGTAAGCAATTTCAGCGACCTTAGTTTAGAAACATCATCTATTTCAACAAATAGTACCATATCTGGTAACATATTAAAATCAAATGTCGAAGATAATGAAGCTAACGATAACAGCAGTAAAACACCATTAATATATGTCATGTGTGGTCAAGGTCCACAATGGAATGGTCAAGCTATCGAACTGTATAATAAAGAACCAATTTTCAAGAAATCAATGGATACTATCGACTCAATACTATCAAAGTACTTTGGTTATTCAATATTATCAAAACTAAGATCAATTAAAGATAATGACAATAATACTATTAACGAACCAACCGTTGCACAACCATCAATATTTATGTTACAAGTTTCATTATATGATTTATACAAACATTGGGATATCAAACCATCAATTATCCTTGGTCATTCATTTGGTGAAGTTTCAGCTGCTTATTGCTCTGGCATGATTACATTAGAAACAGCATGTGAAATTATTTATCAAAGATCTACACTTCAAAACAAGACTATTGGATCTGGTAAAATGTTAGCTATTGGTTTAAACGAACAACAATTTAAAGATCAATTTTCATCAAAGTATCCAACAATCGAAATCAGTTGTTACAACTCACCATCATCAATTGTTATTTGTGGTAATGAATCCGAAGTTAATGAAATCGGACAAACCCTAAAAGAGAAACAAGTGTTTTCAACACTATTAGGGTCACCATCATCATTCCATTCATCAAAACAAGAAGTTATTAAAGATGAAATAATAACATTAACTAAAAACATTAAATCAAATAAACCAAACATTCCAATATTTTCAACAGTTACTGGTGAAATATTTAAATCAGAAGACTCTCAATTCGACTCCAACTATATTTACAACAACATTAGACAACCAGTATTATTCCAAAAAGCAATCGAGAATATATTTAAATATATCGAATCAAATGAACTTGGAAATAGAGTACAATTTTTAGAATTATCACCACATCCAACATTAGTTAACTATATAAAAGAAATGATTCCAACTACCTCAGATTTCTATCAACCAGAAAATATATCAGTATTATCATCACTAAATAGAAAAACAAATACTGATATGATTGAAATTAGAAAATCAATTTCACAATTATATTGCAATGGTTATAATGTCAATTTCAAATGTCAACTACCAGCACCAACAACAGTCGAGAAACTACAATCTAAAAAAGCATCCTATGTATTACCACGTTATAAATGGGATGATGATATCTATTTCCATCAAAGTTCATCCATCCAAACATATAAAATGAATGGCTCAACTATAAATACTTTAGGTTATAAATATGATCAAACACCATTTATATCATATACATCCTATATTGATGTTAGTCAAGAACCATATAAATTCTTAAAAGGTCATCAAGGCAAAGGTAAAACCCTCTTCCCAGGTTGTGGTTATTTAGATAATATTTTAAAAAGCTTCCCAAATCAAGATATTACCATCAATATTTTAGAATTTAAATCACCATTAATTTTGATCGATGGAGTTAGACAATGTCTATCAACAAATATTTACCAATCAGGTAAAAGCGAATACAGAGTTTTATTCCATTATAAAGACATTAAAACTGGTAAATGGATATTATCCGCACAAGGTAGATTCTCAATTTCAAAACATAATAAGACTCCAAAGAATGTTGACCTCAATGTTTGCAAAAACATCTGTAATTGGATTACATTACCAAGAAAGGAATTATATGAAGCAATTAAAGAAATGGCACAATTAAACTTAACAGGTTCATTCCAAAGTATTGAAGAAGGAAAATTCGGAAATAATGCAGCTTTTATTAAAATTGCATTAAATCCACTTTCAAGCTATGACAATCAACTTTTCCTCAATACTTGTGTTCTTGATGCTTGCTTTCAATCTCTATCTGTATTCAAAGATCACTCAAGTCTCACATTTTTTGATAGACTTATGGAAGTTCAATTCTTTTCAGAAAATATACCAAGATCAGCTATGGATAGAGATAAACTTAAATATGTCTATTGTTACACAGAATTGATCGATAGAGTTGGTGATTCTTATATAGCAAAGGTTGTAATGATGTTAGAAGATGGAACTATTTTATTTACATCACCAGCCGCCGTTTATACTGCCATTAATCCAAATACCAATGGTTATACCATCGAAAATCCAAACCATTGTTTTTATTCAGTAGCCAAACAATCTAAAGACTCTCCACTAGAACCACCATCAAAAACTTTATCTTCAAAGATAACTGAAATTATTCCAACACCAGCCAACAACATTTTAAAAGCTATTACAACTACTTTATATACACCAGTCAAAAAGAGTTATCAAGCTATTACACCAGCAGGTGTTACAGAAGATTCGACACAATTATTAATTTCCAAATATTTCAAAGTTTCAGAATCTGATGGTACACCAAAGATGAATTTAGCAAAACTTTTCTTTGAAATGTTAAAGAACAATGTTTCGTTGATTGAATATGGTGCTAGTGCTAATTTAGCCAAAGTTGTTAATGCTCAAGATATCAAAACAATTAATAAATTAACCAAATTTTTATTAAATGAAACACCAACTCCAATTGATCAAGCTTCCTCAACTTTAATAACATCTTTTATTCCAGAAATCCCACACAATCAAATTATAAAAGAAATCATTACAGCCTCAATTACACCAATTATTAACGAAAAGATTGTTTTTAGAATATTAGAGGTTGGTAGTGGTATTGGTTTATTATCTGAAATAATTGCCACCGAAATCAACTCATTAATTGAAAAAAACCCACTTTCAGAAATCAATATTGAATTTACAACTTCAGATAAAGAAAATACCTTTGCACCATTAATTAAAGAAAAGCTAGAATCAATTGTTGAATCAAACTTATCATCCTTCAAATGCCTATTTAATACTATTGACTTTAAGCAAGATTTATTAGACCAAAATTTTTATCCATCCTATTATGATATTATCATTGTATCTACTTTTTCAGATATCGAAGATAAGAAATCGTCAGTGGAAAAACTAAATAAAATTTTATATCCAAATGGCTATTTAGTAATAATTGATACACTCTTTAAACCAAAGACAACTGATAAAGAACTAGAAACATATGGACAATGGTTGTCATACAATTGTCTAAATTCAACCACAACCATCGATGAATGGAAACAACTATTAGTTACAGAGTTAGGCTTTAAAGATGTTATATCAACAACATCTCAGACAAGTTTAATTACTGCTCAAAAGCCAAAATTGGTCGAGTCAACATTATCAATGCAACTACCTATTGCAGATTATGATCAAATTATAATCTTTGGCCTATCTATAGATGGTATAGATGAATCTAAACTTATTTCAGGTATCAATCAAGCAACTGAAAAACCAGACTCACTCTATAGAATACTTTCATATGAAGATTTTGAAAAGCATATAGAATCTAAACCATTAACCAATAAATCAATTATATTTTTCGTTAGTACCATCAATGACATAGGTCAAGGAAATTTCGTTGAAATTACATACGACTACATTAGAATCAACCAACATTTATTAAAAACTAAAAATGGTTGCAAACATATATTGGTATCCAAACTCTCACAACTTGAATCAATTAATGCATTTGCATCTTCAGTTATTGGTGCTTTCAGATACTTTTGTGAATTTTCCGAATTAAATATTTATGCATTTGATTTCGGTTTTGATATTTTCGAAAAATCTTTAACAGACTTTAGAATTTATAACGAATTATCCAATCCACAAAAACACATCCAAAGAGAGTATATCATCAGAAACGAAAGTATTTACTTTGAAAGAATTAAACAAGACATCAACTTAAAGCTAAAATATAACTCAACATCATATATCGATAAAAAAGAGGAGTTAATTGCAAGATTAGATGCTCAAAATTTAGAATTTAAGCTCGAAGCCAGAAGATCACTATTAGAGAATGAAATCGAAGTTCAAGTAAAAGCAGTTGGTATCAATTTCAAAGATAGTTTAGTTTATCGTGGTTTAGTTCCAAAAGAATCAACCAATCGTAAAGGTGATCATAATAATCCAGAAATGGGTTTTGAGTGTAGTGGTATAGTAACAAGAGTTGGTAGCAATGTTAAAAAGTTGAAAGTAGGTGACCAAGTATTAGGTGCCTGTTTCTCTGCCGCATCATCACATGTCATTGACGATGAAGAAAGATTTTTATTAAAACCAAGCAATATTTCATTTGTTGAAGCAGCTTCAATTCCATTGGTATATATTACATCTTATTTCTCATTATTTTATCAAGGTAACCTTAGTATTGATCAAAATGAAACTGTTTTAATTCATTCTGGTACTGGTGGTATTGGTTTAGCATGTATTGAGTTATTAAAAGCAATGGGTTTCAAATCATTATTATTTGTAACAGTTGGCTCAAAAGAAAAAGAACAATTCTTACGTAACACCTATGGTGATTTTATTACTGGAATCTATTCATCAAGAAATACCGATTATATGCACCAAGTTAGAAATAAAATTTCAGAAATTAGGGGAAAAGAGAAACCAGTATTTTCAGATCTTTATTTTGGTGAACATGGTGTAGATGTTATATTAAATACTTTACCAGTCGAATTTATGGAAGCAAACTTCAATACATTGGCTCAAGGTGGTCGTATTGTAGATCTCAGTGTAACTCATTTACATCCAAATGAAACCACAGACTATTCGAAATTCCGTTTCTTGATAAGCTATAGTACTTCTGAAATCATGTCATCGGGTTTCAAAAAATCCAAACCATTCTTTGAAACTGTTGTCAATATGATTAAAGAAGAAAAGCTCTCATTACTACCAATCAAAGAATATCCAGTTTCAGAAATTAAACAAGCAATCGAATTTATTTCTGAAAGACAACATATTGGTAAACTTGTTGTTAATTTTGAAACCACTCCAGATTTAATTCAAGATACAATCGAAAAATCACACCATGGGTTTGAAAAGAACTATCTATTGCCATCGCTTACATATCAAGTTGATAATAATAGATTTGGTAAAACCATTTTACTATCTGGTCAAAAAGGTTTATCACTAACCATTATTAAATGGATTTTAGTAAATACTCCAAAGAATTTAGACCAAGCCATAAAAAATATTATAGTTTTCTCAAAGTCACCAATTAAATTTGAATTAGAAATTATTATGGCTGCAGCTAAATCCAAGAATATTCCAATTAATTTCTATTTTAAACAAGTTGATATATCATTAAGTTTAGAAGTTGATCAAGCAATTGACCAACTATATAAAGACAATCCAAATTTAGAACCAGTTGAAAGTATTTTCCATAATGCATTCTTACCAGTACAATCAGAAGCAGAGGAAATAAATTTACAACAATTAGTAGACTCACATGGTGCCAAAATATTTGGAATGATGAATTTATATCAATCTGTAGGTTCTAAAGGTTGGCTAGTAAAAAAGTTTGTATTAGCTTCATCGGTAACAAGTATAATTGGGGGTCATCGTCAATGTGGTTATGTTTGTGCCAATGTAGTAATAGATTCATTCACCAAAGTATTAAGACAATTCGGTATACCATGTGTCTCAATAAACTTTTCTGCAATAGAAAATAGTGGTTATGTCAGTAGAAATGAATCAGTTCAAGCATTATTTTCATCTCAAGGATTACAACAAATTTCAACAAATTTGGTTTTGGGTTCATTAGATTTGATAACTCAAAATCAAGATCAATTAAATGGTAAAATTGTTGCTCAATTCAATTACTCAAATATTGGAAAAACATTCAAAAATAATTTACATCTCTATAAAATAGATTTCTTTTTGAATTCAATTCAATCAAAATTTGGTAGCTCTTATGATGATGATGACGAAATTTCAATTAGAGATCAAATTGTTGACAAATTTAGTGAATATTTATCAGTAGATAAATCTAAAATTAACATGGACGTTCGTTTGTGTGATTACGGTATGGATTCCATCATGGTAGTAGAGCTTAAAAATTGGCTTGATAAAACATATGTACCCAATATCTTGACCATTGCACAGTTACAACAGGTAACAATAAATCAACTCGCAGCCGCCGTTAAAAATGCAGTTAGTAAATCGAATAATAAGAAAACTATTAAAAAGAAACAACAACAAACAAATTCATCAATTGAATGGGAAAGCGAAATAAAATTAGATGAATCGTTTATTTCACCATCACAAAACCAAATTAAAGTATATAAAGAGACATTAGCAACCAATAAAGATAACCAAATAGTTTTATTAACTGGTGCAACTGGATTCTTTGGTTTATATTTATTAAGTGATTTAGTTAAATCTTCAGATTATAAAAAAGTTTATTGCCTCACAAGAAATAGATCAAAAGAAGAAGCATTAAAAACCATTATTCAATTATTAAAAGACCATCAAATATATAAACAATTAACACAAGATCAACTTGATAAAATTCAACCAATTTCAGGTGATTATTCAAAGGATATGTTTGGTATGTCTAAAGAAGAATATCAATTACTATCAAAAGAGGTTACAACTGTAATCAACTCAGCTGCAGATACAAATTTAAAAAAGAAATATAGAGATATGAAAGAGTCATTAGATGGTGTCAATCAATGCTTAAAATTCACAATTCATTATAATCTAAAGAAATTTATTCAAATATCAACAGTTAGTGTTTATGCAAACTCTACTAGTACCCAAACTAATGATGAATATGCTTTCCCATCAATAAATAAAGAATCAATGGAGAGCGTTACAATGACTGGTTATAATCAATCTAAATTAGTAGCTGAATATAGAATAAAAGAAGCATCCTCTAAAGGAGTTCCAGCAATGATTATAAGATGCCCACCTCTCTTCCCAAATCCAGAAACAGGTATTGGTAGACCATTTGATTTATTCCAAGTTTTGCTTCAATCATGCTATTTAATGGATGTTTATCCACAAGAATTAATGTTCCAAAAAATGTATACAATTCCAATTACATGGGCTTCAAGAAATATATCATTCATCATTTCAAATTGTTGGAATTTCTCAACACCAATCGAAAATCTTATTTGTTTCAATCTTTTTGGAAATAGTATACAAATAGGTGATATTATCCAATCATTAGCCACCGATTTAACTTGGAGAAGATTAACATCACTTCAATTCATAAAGAAACTTTCTATTTACGAAAATGATTCTTGCCGATTATTAGCCTCTTTTGTTTCAAATCAACAAGATTTCCTTAGAAATATCATTGTTATCCCTGGCCAACTCAATTTAAACGATCAATTAAAACAAATTTTAGAATCAAATAATCTATTTAATGGTTGGGAAGTTTCAAAACAAAACATAATAACTCATCTTAGCTACACCTTCAAAAAGAAAATATTATAATTTATTTTTGATAAATTATTAAATTTTAATAAAAAATAAACACAAAAAAAAAATTATGCCTACAATATAAATTCTACATAATATCAATGGAGTATTAAAATTCCCAAAATTTAAATTAAAATAAATAAAATTTTCTTTTTCAACAAAACTAACCTTTGATAATAAATTTTATTTTTTTTAAAATAGATTTATCCTCTGAATAAGTTGGTACTGCATCATCACGCTCTTAATAAAAATATTTTGTTTGAGAAATTTCAATATAAAAAAAATCTTCTTAAGAAGATACGAGAAACATTTGATAATTTACAATAAAATTTTTTATGAGTCATTAAAGTGATGTGTATTGCTGATTTTAATCGAAGATATTTATTATTTTTTTAAAAAAAAAAAATCTTTTTTTAATTTTTTTATTTTTTTTATTAATATTTTTTTTTAGAATTTCTTTTTATTTTTAAAAAATGGTTATTAAAATATCATAGATTCTCGAATCAATATAATTTTTTTTTTTTTATATTTTTTATTCAATTTGTTAAAATAAAATAAAATTATTGGTATAAATAGATTAATTTTTTTATTGTTTTATAAAAAAAATATAAATATAAAAATAAATAAATATAAATAAATATAAATATAAATATAAATAGTTGTTAAAAATGTTATTAAAATTAGTATTAATCATTTGCTTAATCTTATCATTGTCATTTGTACATGTATGTAAAATATTATTAATAAAATTTGAAAGTGAGGGTGTGGAGTGAATCGATAGTTTAATTTTAGTCAAATTTTTACTTTATGATTTCTAACATTAGTTAATTGTTAACAAATAGGCCAATGTTGCTACTGAACATAAAGAACCAACTGTATTAAAGAACCTAAAATTCACAGCTACTACAGATGGCGCTAGCGGTCGTTCTGATAGTGGTAGTGGTAGTGGCAGCTGGAGTGGACAACCATGTGCTACAAGAGACCCAAAAAAGAATGGAAAAGATAATGTTGATGGTGTAACCTTTTGTGATGGTGAAAATGGTCACTTCCACACTTCTACAGGTTATTCAAGTGGAACAGGCGGTAACTCTGGTGAAACAAGCGGCAGCGGTAACACTGGTAGATACCCAGATACCACAACTGTTAACGACGGTGTCACCTACAAAGCTAATAAAGTATATGGTTCAAGCTCAACAACCACTGGTACAAACAATAATTAAATAAAAACCTTTTATTTAAACATCTCGATGAAAAAAAAAAAAAAAAAAAAAAAAAACAAATAAAATACGCTAAATTATTTATAATGAAATTTATTTTTTGTTTTCTTTTTATTTGTATTGAAATAATTGCACTCGTTTTGATCATTAAAGCTATAATCTTTGCAATGAATATCTAGTGATTAAAAATTATCGTTATCATTTATCGTTTGTGGCAATAATATTATAATATATTTTTAGATTAATGGTGATGCACGAAATAAAGAGGTGCTAATATAAACATCACCATAATATTAGATTTATCAATATGGTTTTTGAAAAGGAAAATAAAATATTATTAATAAAATTCAAAATTTAAAAAAAAGCGCTCATTTCAATTATAAAAAATAAATAAAATATTTAAAATTAAATTTTTAATTTATAGAAGCACTTTTTAATGAATTTTTTTTTTTTTTTTTTTAATGTATCATACAACTCATGCATATTTTCATTCAGCTATCATACCAATTTCATTATCATATAATGAACTACCAAATTCTTACTTTATTCCTTTTCTACAATACTTTATAAAATGAATTATAATAAAATAATATAAATGTAAAAATGATTTTTTTAAAAGGAAGATTTGTTTAATGCTTTTTTTTTATATCCTTTTTTTTTTTTTATTTATAATATTTGATATTAAATCAGATTATTATTTATTTAGAAATCAAATTTGAAAGAAATAGAATATAAATATAGATAGATAAACTATTGTGTAACATCCAAATATATCAAGGACTATTTAGTAGCACTAACAAGAAACAAGTGATTTAAAAAAAATTTTAGCTTTGTCAAGTCAAGTCACTCATTTCAATATTTGTATATGTATTTTTTTTCATTACATTTATTTGTTTGTTTTTTTATTCACCCATTATATTTATTTGTTTTTTTATTTACCCCCTATATTTATTTGTTGTTTTTTTATTCACCCATTGCATTTCATTCTATTATAAATATGGTATTCTGCGTGGTGGGATACATAATTAACCATTCGGCTCTAATATACTAATATACCCCGTGGTAGAGCTGGAAAGACTCTTTACAAAGAGTGGCTGATAGTATAAATAAAATATAAATAAAATAATGGTATTAATATCATTTTATTATCTTTAAAAATTAATTATAAAATCTTTAAAAAATTTTTTTTTCTTTAATTTTAAATGAATATGCTAACAATAATTGGTGAAAACTGAGGATAACGATAATTTTTAATCACTATGAATATCTTCGATTGAGTCACTAATCGGAACCAGTAATATTCATTTTTTTTTCATTATTATAAGGAATAGATTTGTAATATTAACGAATAAAAAAACAAAACTATAAAAATATTGTTTAATTGCTTTAAACATAAAAAAATGAATAATTATTTTAAACTTTATCAATTGGGGGGTGTATAAAAATATTGAACTGATAAAAAAAAAAAAAAATTTTTGGTTTAATTTTTATTTATTTGTAAATTTTTGTTCTATGTTTGATAATCATTGCTAAAAAAAAAATTTTAAAACAAAAATTTCTATTTTAATAATTTTTTTCTAAATTGATCATATAAAAAGTCTGTTTTTTTGATAATTTCCCCTCTAACCACCTCAGTTAATTTTTTTTAATTTTTTTAATTATTTTTTAATTTTTTTTTTTTTCTTTTTTTATTTTTTTATTTTAATTTTTTTAATTTTTCATTTTTGGTTTTTGTATATTATTCAAACCTATATATCATATTCAATATAAATACATATATATATTTATAATATATATACTTTTATAATTTATTTATATATTATAAATAAATATATTATATTTAATTATATAATATAAAAAAAAATAAAAAAAAAAAAATAATCATATATATCACCATTTTTATATAATTAAATTTTGTAATAATAAAAGAAATCGATAAATTTTTTTTTTTTGTTAAAGTTAATTTTGTTAAATAACCATTTATATTAATAAAACATAACTATATTATTAATAAAATAAATAATAAAAAATAAATAATATAATAAAAATATAAAATAATAATAAAAAAGATAAAAGAATGACTGATGGCAATAGTGCTAATGGTGTTACAACACCACCAAATGGTGTCAAATTATATCAAGAGGGCGCAGGTGTTTGGGTACCAGATCAAGAGTTGGGTTGGATAGGTGCAGATGTATTAGAACATTTAGAAAGTACTCCAGATAGTGTTTTAGTTAGAACTGAAGATGACAGAGAATTAAAAGTCTCAGTTAATAAAGTTTTTTTAAAGAATCCAGATATTTTAGAAGGTGTTGATGATTTATCATTCCTCTCTCATTTACACGAACCTGCAATCTTACACAATTTACATCATCGTTATAATTTAAATCAAATCTATACATACATTGGTAAAATTCTAATTGCCATTAATCCATATGCATCACTTCCACTCTATGGTAAAGAAATGATTTCTGCATATTATGGTAAACAATTAGGTACTCTTTCACCACATGTCTATGCTGTTGCAGAGGATGCCTTTAAAGATATGCGTTATGATGGTACAAGTCAATCAATTTTAGTATCTGGTGAATCTGGTGCCGGTAAAACTGAAACCACTAAATTTTTATTACAATACTTTGCTGCCATGGGCAATATGATTAAAGAATCAACTTTATCAACCAATGGCTCTTCAACAATAAACTCTGATGAATCATCATCATTAGTTACACCACCATCTCCAATGAAGAAATCAAATGACAAATCAATTGAAGAAAGAGTTTTAGAAAGTACACCATTACTCGAAGCTTTTGGTAATGCCAAAACCTTAAGAAATGTAACTATACAATTTAACATTGTATACTATTTTTATATAAAAAACTTGCTAATACTTTTTTTATTAATTAGGATAATTCATCTCGTTTTGGTAAATTCATTGAAATTCATTTTAATGAATTTGGTTCAATTATTGGCGCTAAAATTTTAACATATCTATTAGAAAAGTCAAGAATAGTTAGACAAGTTTACAATGAAAGAAATTATCATATTTTTTATCAAGTATATATTAAATATTATTTATTTTTTCAATAATAAAAAATTGTTTTATACTAATTTTAAAAACTTTTATAAAGTTATTATCAGGTGCAACAGATGAATTAAAAGAAAGATTAGGTTTATTAGAAATTGGTGAATATAACTATTTAAATAAAAGTGGATGCTCTGAGATTGAAGGTGTATCAGACTCTGACCATTTCCAAAAGACAAGCCATGCAATGCAAGTTGCTGGTATTGCAATTAGCGAACAAGAAAATATATTTAGAATTTTATCAGTTGTATTATTACTAGGTAACTTAGAATTTGAAGATAAATCAGGTGCAAACGATGATAGTTGCGAATTATTAAATAGAGAACCATTAGAAAAAGCTGCAAGCTTATTGGGTATGGCATCACCTGACGATCTTTTAAACACATTCCTTACACGTAAAGTTGTTACTGGTAAAGAATCCTATATTACACACAATACCAAAGAGCGTGCTGAAAATTCTCGTGACTCATTATCTATGTTTTTATATGGTATGATGTTTGACTGGTTAGTTGCCAAAATTAATAGTAGTATGTCCATTCAACAAAAATCAAAGAGTTTTATTGGTGTCTTGGATATTTATGGTTTTGAATCATTCGAAGTCAATGGTTTTGAACAATTTTGTATCAACTATGCAAATGAAAAACTTCAACAACTATTCAACCAACATGTTTTCAAGGAAGAGCAACAGGAATATATTAAAGAAAAGATCGATTGGTCATACATTGATTTCAATGATAATCAAGATACATTAGATCTCATTGAAAAGAAACCAATTTGTATTTTAACATTACTCGATGAAGAAACAATGTTCCCAAAAGCCACACCACAAACACTAGCCACCAAACTTTATTCAAAACTTACAACTCACAGTAAATTTGAAAAACCACGTTTCTCAAGTACTGCCTTCACAATAAACCATTATGCTGGTAAAGTCACTTATGAAACTGATCAATTTTTAGACAAGAATAAAGATTTTATAATTCCTGAACAAATTATATTGCTTCAAAAATCAACATTCACATTTATTAAAACATTACTCTCAAGTAGTGATAAATTCCAACAAAGCGGTAACAGCGGTGCAGCACAACCATCAAACAAACCTTCTGGTCAATCTGGTTCAAGCTCTATGAAATTCCTTAGTGTTGGTTCACAATTCTCCACCAGTCTTTCTACTTTAATGAAAACTATCTCAACTACAACACCACATTATATCAGATGTATCAAACCAAATCCAGAGAAACTACCACAAACATTTAATAAAATGGATGTCATTCATCAATTACGTTGCGGTGGTGTTATGGAGTCTGTTAGAATTTGTTGTGCTGGTTTCCCAACAAGAAGACCTCTATCGGAATTTTACCAACGTTATAAAATACTCTATGTCAAAGAGCAACAAGGCGGTAAAAAGAACCAAAAGATTAAAGATCCAAAACTCTTGGTACAAAATTTATTCGAAGGTATAGGGCTTTCTGATGATAAATACAAACTTGGTATCACTAAAGTTTTCCTCAGAGCTGGTCAGTTGGCTGCTTTGGAAGATATGCGTTTAGAACAATTGAATCATAGTGCGACAATGATTCAAAAGACCTGGAAAAGATTTTACTATTTCAAGCGTTACAAAGCATTAAGAGATGCCTCTATTATCATCCAAACCAAACTACGTTCACAACTTGCCAAACAACAACTATCCCAACTTCGTAAAATTCACAGTGCAATCACTATTCAAAAGGTATTCAGAGGCTACAGAGAAAGAACCAAATATAATAAACAAAGAGAGGCTGCTCTCACTTTACAAACTGCCATCAGAAAATCCATTGACTATGACTCTGTTCACAAAGAAAGATGCGAGCATGCAGCTATTATCTTACAAACTAAGATTCGTTCTACATTGGCCAAAAGAGAAGTTGAAAAGAAACTTAAAGGTATTATTGCACTCCAAGCCAAATGGAGAGGTAAAATGGCCAGAAAAGTTTACATTGAGCTTCGTGCTGAAGCAAGATCCCTCAAAAATGTACAAGCCGAAAAGAATAAACTTCAAGAGAAATTAGAAGAACTTCAATGGAGATTATCATCAGAATCCAAACGTAAGCAACAATTAGAAGAGCTCAAATCAAAATCAGATACAAGAGTCGAAGAGCTAGTCAGTCAAAATGACCACTTACAATTATCACTTTCCGAATTTGAATCCAAATTTACAGATTTAGAAGAATCCAATAAGTTAGTGGTTTCCGAATTGTCAGAATGCAAACGTCAATATAATGATGTATCATCATTACATGAACAATCAAATAAAACAAACAAAAGATTGGAAAAAGAGCTCTCTGATGCATTGGAAAAGATTCAAAACCTTGAACAACAATTACAAGAAAGTGATAAAGATAAATCCGAATTCAAATTAAAACTAGATGATTTACAAATTAAATTTGCAAGCAATTTGAAGACCTTAGAGGCATTCCAACAAGAATTAGAAAGTGAAAAACAAGAAAGAGAACAAGAGAATCAATCAAATATTTTAGAGATTCAAAACCTTAAAAAGAACAATCAAACTTTGGAAGAGGACTATTTCACTTTAACAGGTTTAAAAGATACTCTCCAAAGAAATGTAGAAGAACTTAGCTTGGAGCTCAGTACTGAAAAAGATAAGCTAGCCAAGTTTTCAACTGAATCTAGTCAAACCGAATCCAACCTTTTAGTTGAAAAACAAACACTCGAATCATCATTAGCTCTAGAAAAAGACAACGTTAAGTCACTAACCAACAAACTAGAGCAAACCATCGCAACACTTAATGAAAAGACCAACGAATTCCAAATAAAAGAAGAACAACTCAAAAACTCTATAAGCAAACTTGAACAATCAAATGAAGAAACCAAATCTAAACTAAATGTACAAACCGAACAATCGAATGAAAAAATTAAGAAACTAAAATCTAAACTTGAACACATTGAAGAAGAAAAGAGATCGATTAACTCTGAATTTGAACGTATAAGAATGTCAAAACAAATGTTAGAGGATGAAAAATCACAATTAAATAACCAGATACAAAATATTAGAAATGAATCCACTCAACAACAATCAACCTCCTCACACCAAAAAGAAAAGATTCAAAACTTGAAATCTACTATTGAAGAATTAACAAAGAATAACAATAAACTTCAAGGAGACATTCGTTCAAAAGAAGATGACATTCGTAAGATTTCATCAGAGCTATCAGATAGTAAATCTCAACAATCAAAACAATCCAAAGAACTATCAGATCTTAACTCTGCATATCAAATTGAAAAACAAAAAGCTGAAATTAGTATCCACTCTCTCGAGAAATCGTCAGAATCACTCAAATCAGAAATGGAACGTATCCAGCAATTATTAAAACAATCAGAAAGAGATAATCAACAATATAAAGATACAATCTATCGTTTAGAAAATGAAGTTAAACAACTAAGCACAATTAAAGAACGTTTCGAAAGTGAATTCTTTGCTGCTAAAGAACAAAATACCACAAGTGCTCAAGAAAGTATTTATCTCAAAGAGGTTACAGGTCAAATGCAACAGAATCAAGCTCGTATTGAACGTGAATTGGATGAAAAAAAACAAGTTATCACCAGAATGGAGGATGAAAAAGATGCAATTAAAAAACAACTCTCTCAAATTACTTCAAACCATGAGCAAGCCTCAACTCAATTACTATTGACCCAAGCTGAATTAGACCGTCTTAAAAAGAAAGAAATTAAACATAAAGAACGTTCACAAGAAAACTCAAAGAGCATTGAACAACTCTCTCAAGAAATTCAATCATTAAAGATTATTAACAATGACAACTTGAAATCCATTCAAGAATATGAAAATGAAAAGAAGAAGCTCAAAGATAAGCTATCCAATAGTAAGCAAGACTCCCAAGCAAGCCGTGAATCATTTATTAAAATTGAAACCGAGTTATCAATGCTTAAGAATCACTCACAATGGGTTGAAAACTCTTTTAATGAAATGAAGAGCCGTAACCAAGAGTTGGTCGATAACAATGCACTTTATAGAACTCAAATTCAGCAATTAAATACCCAAATCGAATCTGCTGGTAAAGAAAAAGATCAAGAACTTGTTATTGTTAGAGATCAATTAGAGCACAGCAAACTTCAAGTATCATCAATTCAAAGTGAAATTGAAACCATAAAGAATGGCAACGAAATCGAAATTAATCAATTCAAACAAAGAGTTGAAGAATTGGAAAATGAAAATAAAGAATTAGAAGAGAAATCAGTTGAACTTACCAACCAATTAATGACTGCTAGATTTGAAACCGATCAAGTTAAAAGTGAAATTAAAGAACAAGAAAACAAATCAAAGAGAATGTCCGTTGAAATCCAACAACACCTTGAAGAAGGCAAACAACAAGAAATTCTTCAATTACAAAGTGCTATTGAACAATTGAAACAACAATACGCTAGTAGCTCTGCAGCATGGTTAAGTGAAAAAGAAAAATTACAAAAAGAAATTGAAGATGCTAGAAGGGAAAAAGAACTCGTAGTTAAACGCTCATCAACAAACCAAAGTAAACAACAAATGCTTGTTGATCAATTGGATACCTATCAAGACTTGATTGAAGTTATTGATATTAAAGAATCCGAATGGGAACAATTAGCACGTTTAGCAGGCTGCAAAGAATTGGATACAAAGATGATTTCAGACTACTTACTATCATGTAAATTAGAACACACAATACTAGCTGCTCAGATGTGGTTCCATCAAATCGACTATTGGAGACCATTTGATCACGAAAAATCTAAATCCATATTCCGTGGTATTATTCGTTCAACTATAGATTTCACAATTAAAAACTTTGATGATATGGATTTACTCAGTTATTTATTAGCATGTTGCTCTCTCACACTTTTCCTTTACCAAAAAGAACTTATCTCTCTTTTAGGTGGTTCAAAATCATTTATGCCTACTATCCCAAACATTCCAGATTTAGAAGAATTAAACTCTCAAATTGCAAACTTGGGTAATAACAATTCAAAACATTTAAATTTTATCGATCAACTTCAACAAACTACAGGTAGAACATTTGGTCTTTTATTCAGAGTTATGACAAATAAATTAACCCCATTCATCGAAGGTGCAATTCTAAATGAAAACTATAACAAAAAACTCACCTCTGTTACATCATTATTTGGACAAGTTCAAGCAAATCAAACCCAAATGCTTCAACCAATTGAAACCATTACAGGTATCCTTTCCACCATTATTACAATTTTCCAACACCGTATGGTACATTTTACTCTCTCACAATGTTTCTTTAGCCAAATTTTCTCTTGGATTGGTTCAATGATTTTGAAAGCATTTATGCTACGTCAAGCTTTCTGTACTGATCAATTTGCCCTTTTCGTTAAACAAAAGATTGACCTCCTTATCTCTTGGTCTGAAAATTTTGGTAATGTATGGTGTGGTAATATTTCAAAATCGTTTGTTCAAGTACGTGAAGTTATTGCTGTGCTCACATATAAAGAAAAAGACAAATTTGCAGAAGAGAAAACTCGTAAAATTATTTGTCCAAATTTAAATGCAAATCAACTAAAACAAATTTTAGCAATGTATAGTCCTGGTGAATTTGGTAAAAAAGTACCAACCAAAGTTATTACCTCAATTTGCCCACCAACCAAAGCACTTTTAAATCAACAACTATTCGATTCTGAAAAACTATTACCAATTCCAATCGAAGCTTTACACTATTTAGAAACAAGTGATATCAAAGGCCTCTCTTTACCATCGTCAATTAGGACCTCGATTGAAACAGAAATTAAAAATATTAAAAAATTAATAATATCAAAAAATGTCAATAATACACCAATTTAATTTATTTATATTCACAATAAAAAAAAATAAAATAAAAATAAAATAAAAATAAAATAAAAAAAAATAAAAAAATTGGTTTATCTGTGTATTATTATTTACTTCAGTTTTCTTTTTTTTTTTTTTTTTTTTAAAAAAATTGAAAAATTTCAAATAAAAAATTTTAAAAGATATTGAAACAGAAACCACTTTTTTTAAAACCAAATCTCAAATTTGAAACATAATATCTTAAAAATTTCACTATAACAATAACCATACAGTAAGTAATAAAAAATAGTAATAAAAATAGGAATATAAAAATAAATAATAAACAATAAATAAAAATAAAAATAAATTAAAATAAATTAAAATAAAAAATAAAAAAAAAACATTGATCTATCTTAGTTTTTTTCTTTTTATTTGATTTTTATTATTTGATTCTTAAAAACTACAACTTTTAAAAATAATAATCTACACTCAACACAATACATTCATAAGTACTTAAAAAACAAACCACATTACACCCACAAATCATTTTTTTAAAAACCATAAAAAAATAAAAATTAAAAAAAAATAATAAATAAATAAACTAAACACACAAACATATACATATACACCACACCCAAACAAATACACACACACCCAAACAATCAAACATCACGATGAAAAAAAAATATTTAAAATAAAATAAAAATAATTATTGTTATTATTTTTTTTTAATTTTTTTCCATCCATTTTTTTTTTTTTTTTAATTTTTTTCAATTTTTTTTTTTAAAATTTTTTTTTTTTATTTTTTTTTAAATTTTTTTTAAATTTTTTTTTTTTAAATTTTTTTATTTTTATTTTTAATAATATTATTATTTTTACATATAAATTAACTAGCAGTGTAAATATTTTCATTTTGATTAGATTTTAATATTTATTTTTATAGAGATTATAATATAAATAGTTATTAAATATCTTACCTATATATATATAAAAATAGTGTTATAATAGTATATGTATTAACCTCAATTTTTTTATTTTTATTTTTATAAAATATATTTTTTTTTCTTCGATTATACAAAAATATCAAATACCAAATATCAAATATCAAATATCAACAATAGTTTTTAATTTTCTTTTTTTAAAATAACTTTTATTTATTCATTGATTTGGAGTGATTAATATTCAGTCGACCACCAATCAATTTGTACCAAATTTAGTCAAATATAATATCGATTTATATAAATAATATATAAATAGACACCACACAAACCAATAAAAAAACACAATTTGTTAAAACAATTTTTTTTTTTTTATCAATATAAATAACAATATATAAAGTAATATAAAATAATACAATGGGTCAATTACTCAGTTTCATCAACGGTACAGATCATGCTGAACAAATTTTTATAGATTTCGAAAGTAATTATCTTTTAATTATATATACAAACATATTTTTATTTTTTTATTTTTATATATTTTTTTTTTTTATCCGTTAAATTTAGAAATTTTACTAAAAATACATTTTTTTATTTATTTATAGATGCTCAACCATCAGATGACGAAAGAGAACTTCATAAAACAGTTGGTGAAGTTTTAAACAGAGGTCCAGCAATCATTGAAAAACTTTTAGCATACGCAGGTTGTAATGAATATATTAGAAGAGTAAATATTAGATTTTTAATCACATAACAAATGGGTTCAAATGTTATTTCTTTTTTTATTATCACACAAACAGCATATTTAAAAATAATAATACCAACTCAAGATATCTTTTTATTTTTTTGGATTAAAAAATTCAATATAACCACAGTTCATTTGGATAAAGGAGGATTATAGCGAAACGTGGTTATTTAGATGAAAGATATTGCGAAAAATGTGATAATAACAGAAAAAAAAAAAAGAAATAATTTGAAGATCGTTCCAGAGTTATTTATAGATTTTTTTTTTTTTAAAAAATTTTTATACTAATATAATTTTTTCATTAGGCTATCACCAATCCAGGCCCAGAAACTGAAGATGCTGCTTGGGAAGCAGTTCTTCCATCAGTCGATCAACTTCAAGAATTCTACGACTTCTCATTAGAATTAGAAACTTGTTTCCCAAAACTTTTAGTTGCTCTCTGTAAAAATGATCCAAAATCATCTTTATCAAACCAACAAGCCCTTGCTAAACAACTCGCTGATATTTTTGATTTTGTTTTAAGATTCGACGATGCCAAGGTATGTAACAACACAATATCACCCATATATTTATTTTAAAACAAATTATTAATATTAATACTAATTGTTTTTTTTTTTATTTCAAGATGGTTAACCCAGCTATTCAAAACGATTTCTCATATTATCGTCGTACTCTTAACAGAATGAAATTATCTAAAAAAGATGCCAACATCAAGATTCGTGATGAATTAGCAAACAGAATGTCATTATTCTTTGCTTATCCAACCCCAATGATGAAAGTTCTTTCTGAAACCACTGTTAAATTCCTCTCACAAGATACCACTGTCCCAAGAGAAAATGTTACTACTGCTTTAGCTACCATGGCTAATGTTTGTCACGATATGGTTAATAAAAAGAAATTCACCAACGAAGAAATTAATATGTTTTGTCTTAGAGCTATGGTTGGCTCCATCATTTTATTCGATCACATCCATCCACAAGGTGCCTTTGTAAAAAAATCAACCATTGACATGAAAGGATGTATTGTAACCTTAAAAGAAACCAACGCTGCCTCATGCCCAGGATTATTAAATGCCTTAAGATTTACAACTATTCACTTAAACGACGCTGAAACTCCAGGTTCACTCAAGCAATTATTATTACTTGATTAAAAAAAAGAAATAAGAAAAAAAAAAAAAAAAGATAATATTAAATCATCAAAAAATAACTATAAATAATATTATTTAATTTTTTTTTTTTAAAAAAAAAAGTAAAAAAAAAAGAAAAAAAAAAAATAATAATAACTCACAACTAAATAACTCACAAACCACCTCACACACTCATATCTATATAAAAAAAAAAAAAAATTATAAAAAATAAAGAAAATGTATTAATTAACTCAAAGTTTTATAAATATATATTTTTTTTTATTATTTTTTATCTTATTTTATAATTAACTATAAAATAAAATAATTTTATAAAGAAATTTCTTTTCGAAGTGTCCTTTTGTTATTTTATTTTTTTTATTTTATTTAATTTTTTATTTTTTTTATTATTTTTTTTTTAAAATTTTTTTTTAAATATCTCAGCTGTAGGAAAATATAATTTAATTTTTATAACACACCAAACACACACTTAACACACACATAGTTATACAAATATTTAGTTTGTGTATAAATACAGTTTTATTGTTACAAAATAATAATAATAATTTCTCGTGGATTGTTTTTTATTTTTTATTTTTTGTATTATTTTATAAAAAAAAAATTCTTTTGGGAATAATTTTTTAAAAAAATTTAAAATTTAAATCTTTTTTTTATTTTTTATTTTTTCAAAAAACTATAAAACTATTTTTTAGCAAAAAATAGTAATCCGATAAAGAAATGTCGTCGGTAAAATATATTAATATAAACGAAACAAATGAAGGAGCTATGGACGAAGTTAGAAAGAAGCAAGAGAACAGATCGATCAATATGATGGTGTTGACGGTGTTTTTACAGTCCATAGGGTTCACATTAACTATGCCATCAATGTACGATTATTTATATAATGACGATCCAAATCATAATACATATTTCAGTTTTATTGTAGCATCATACAGTTTGGGACAGTTTATAGGATCACCAATATTTGGTAAATGGAGTAATCGTAGAAATTCAGGAGAACCACTTATAGCATCAATTGCAATTTCTGTTATAGGTTCAATTCTTTATGCAGTAACATACGAATTCAAGACAATGGGATTTGTTGGTGTAATGGTAGCAGCTAGATTTATAGTTGGTTTTGGTGCAGGTAATGTTTCAGTTTGTAGGGCCTATGCTTCGGAGATGGCAACATTGGAAAATAAAACTATAGTAATGTCGAAAATGAGTGGTGCTCAAGGTGTTGGTTTTGTATTGGGCCCAATTATCGGAACAGTCTTAAATTTCATTAATTTTCATATAAAAGGATTGGTTGTAAACGGTTATACAGCTCCAGGTTATCTCCAAGTTTTAATTGCAGTCATCAATATCCTTGTTGTTGTTTTCTTATTTAAGGATTGTAGAGATTTAAAGAAGAGAAATGCCCCAAAGCAAGAAGAATCAAGAGGTTTATTAGATGATGAGCAGGGATTAGACAATCAAAAACCAAACCAAGAACAAGCAATTTTCCCAATTATCCTTTCAATTTATTTATTTGCTGTTGTTATTTCAATTTTTGCAGTATTCGAAACTATTCTCACTATTATGACCAAGCAATATTATGGCTGGGAGAAGATACCAAATGGCCTTATTTTGGGTGGCTCAGGTATTCTCAGTATTGTTGTTTTCATTATCATTTCGCGTCCATTCATTAAAAAGATTGAAGATAGAAAAACTGCTATTTTTGGCTTCATAAACTTGTTTGTTGCTCTTATCATTTTAACTAATTATAATCACCCATTAGGTAAAGAAACTATTTTACCAAAGGTCCAACTCTTCATTGGTACTTTCTTTGTATCTGTCGGCTACCCAATTGCCTCATCATTAGTTTATGCAATCTTCAGTAAAATTTTAAATCCTAATTCCCCAACAGTTGGTACTAAAATGGGTTGGTTAACTGCTGGTGGTTCATTAGCCAGAATGGTTGGTCCAATTTGGGCTGAAGCTATTTGGGATTCTACAGGTAGTCAAGGTATGGTTCTCTTTTTAGCAACTGCTGGTTTAACTTTAACAGCTGTTATTTTATTATTGGTTTTCTATAAAACTTTAGCACCACATCCAGAATATAAAAAACAAATGTTATTAAGCAACGCTATTGATAATGTTGATAATAAATAATAATATAATAAATAATAAAAACTAGTTTGTATCAATTATAATAATTAACAATAAATATTTTATTTAATTTTTATGTTTAAAATTTTATTTAAAAATTAAAGTTTTACCCAAATTTTTATTTGGGATGGTTTTAAATATTAGTGTTTTTTGAAAATAAAATAACAATTAATATAAATATTATTATTTTTTTAAAAAATCGTTTTTTAAGATTTATTTATATTAGTTTTTTTATTTTGTTTTATATAGCACAAGAGGGTATTATTGAGGGGGGTGGGAAGTAGTGGTTTTTAAAATTGCGTAATATTATATTGGTGTATTAGTTTGGATTTGTTTTATATTTATTTTTTAGGCTGTTGTTGTACTTGGTGTTTCAGTTGAGGGGGTTGTTGTAGGATTTGGTGTTGATGATGGAGTTAATGATGGAGTTGATGATGGGGTTGATGAGGGGGCTAATGTTTCGTGGCTTGAGGAGGAAATTTCATGTGATGAATCTGTATTGCTGGAATGTCTTGCAAATTTCAACCAAACCAATAAAATAATAGCAACTAATAATATTAAAATAATACCAACCATAATGAATTTATTTGCCATAGCTCTTCTTGTCATCTGAGCAATAAGTTTTTTAGATTTATCCAAAAATCCATCGATTGAGTCAAATTTCTTTTCAAAACCAATTAAACGTTCCTTTTGAACCGCTAATTCATTTAAAGTTTTCTCTGCCATGACTTTATCCTCTCTAACTTGATCATTCGCCATCCTAATCATTTGAATACCATTCTCTAATGTTTTATTACCTCTAGAAACACGGTCACGCTGTGATTGTGATGCTGATGTATTAAAGTCATGATGTGATGGGATGAGATCTGCATAATTTTTCTCATTTTGATATTTATCTTTATATTGTTGAAAGCTTCTTTTTGCTTGATAAAATTGTGTAAAGTATTGTTGTGTGGATTTACCTGTTCTATTTGATTCTAAATTTAGACTTGACAAATTACTTTCAATATTTGATAATAAATTTTCTAATTTTTCTAACTCGGCTGGTTTTTGATCTATAAAAAAAATAAAAATTATTAATATTATTTACTTCTTATTATCTATTATTATTATTTGTTATTTATTATTTATTATTTTTCATTATTTGTTATTTATCATTATTATATTTGCTTATTTATATAACTCATACCAGTAGGTAAATGTTGAAAACCAGCTGCAATGGTATCAAATTGCTTAAATGATTGTTTTATTTCATCTTCATATGATTCAAATATACTAGCCTATTGATTTTAAAAAAACTATGTTAATAAACTATGCTATGACCTAAAATAATAATTTATATCGTCTTTTTTTGATATATAAAAAAAAGAACTATATTTTCTTTATCATTATTTATTTATTATTATTATAATGCTATATTCTTTTTAAAAATATACCATACCATAATATTTATATATATATATTATTAATTAATATTTAAAATTATTCCAAATTATTAAAAAATAAAACTACACACACTTTTTAAAAAAAAATAAAATTAAAAAAATAAAAAAAACAAAAAATTAAAAAAAAATTTAAAAAAATTAAAAAAAAAAAAAAAAAGAATACGTTGCAGAATTACCTCAAATTTAAAAAAAGAAATCTTATTATAAAACTAAATAAAAAGATATAAAAATAAAATAAAATGAAATAATAAAATATATAAAATTATTTTGTGAAAAAAAAAAAAAGATTTTTTAGTTTTTATTTTTTGGTTTTTTTTAGTTTTTATTTTTTTTTTGGTCAGAATTGCGAGGTTTGAAGGCAAGTCTTGTGTTTTGATTTTGAGGAGATGTCATCTTTTGTCAAATGTTTAGTTATTAAAATAGAGATTCTATTTTTTAACAGAAACAAATAATAAAAGAGATTTAACAGCAGTAACAATTGTTTTTAGAGTATATTGGTTGAATTCATAAAAGATGGAGCCATTGTGGAGGATATAAGATTTACTTCTTTTCTTGAGACTAAGAGAAGCAGGTGGCAAAGCAGATACTGATGACAATGGTTCATCAGAATCAGTATCAGAGTCAGAGTTGTCATCGATTACTTTACCTAATGGAACGATTAATAACCACCAGTAGAGAGTTTCACCAGTTTCGTCAGTAAATTGGTCACTCATAACATTGAGGTGTAGACATGATTGCTTTAAATACCAACCAACCATTTTAGTTTCACTTTCCAAAGTAATCATGAGATATCTTTGTTCAGTACGCAAATAGTTGGATAGTTGTTTAAAGAATTTACCACCAAGACCACCACCTCTGGAATCTGGTCTAACACATAAATAGTCGATATGATAACATTTGTATTCGTGAATTTCAACAATCTAATAAAATAGTAAATAAAAATTAATATTAGTATCTAATGAATTTAGTGGTTTAAAAATAAGTTACTTACAAATGCACAAGCTAAAACTTTTTGATTTTCATCTTCCATAATTAATATACGATAAAAATGGGATCTAGCTAAATTGGCGATATGGTTAACTGAAGGCTCTGTTGGTTCAAAGAAACTTTGAGAGTACAATTGAAGAGCTTGTTTGCATCCCTCATCCTGGTCAGGATCAAAAACTTCCCTAAAGACATAACCATCAACAGTAACAGTACGAGAGAGTGAAGATTTTAATTGTAATAAACGTGAAACTTCTGCGTCAGCTGGGTCTGGTACTTTTGTTGAATGGGACAATACAATTGGGACAATTGTTTGATTCGATCCTGGTCTGAAATCATCGACAATAACAACATCATTTGGGTTTAATGAATTACTTTCTCCAGGTGTTCTACGTAATTCAATCAAGTCGTTATTGTTTACTAAAGATGATTCCATGGTGCCTTGGGCTAAATTAATAGCCTCATCAGGAATATGACTTGTGTTTAATGGCAAATCTTACGAATTCTGAAGTGGATGGGGCTAAGGCAGCGAAAGACATCATTTGGGTTAATGGAGCCAATGAAAGAGTTGAAGGGTCATTGACTTCGCCAGAGAGGGTACCATTAATTTGATTCATTAATGATACAATTGTTGATGGCGAGGAGGAGGATAATAATGAAGAGGAGGATTCATCATTAGATTGAGTAGTAGTAGTTTTATTACTGTTGTTATTACTACTACTACTACTAAAAAAGTTAGTGTCCGTATTGGATTTTAATATTAGGGTAGACATAATATGTCTTTGACAAAGTTGATAAGTTGTAGTGGTTGGATTAAAAAAAATTTGAAAGTTTAAAGCTGTAAGAAATTTAAAGTTCTAAAAAAAATAAATTTATAATAATTTTGATTTATATATAAACCTAATGAAGAACAAAAAAAAAAATATTAATATTTTGGTAAAATATATATTTTTTAAATGAGAAAAAGATTTTAAAATAAAATAAAACAATTATTTATTTATTGTGTGAATAGTGATGCAATAATAAAATATAAGAAATGAAAAAAAAAAAAATTTTAAATTTAAATAAAAGAAAATTTTAAAATAAAGAAAAAAATAATAAAAATTAAATTAATTTAAACATTTTTTTTATATTTTATTTTTTTTAATATTTTTTTTAATTTTTTTTTGAGTGTGGTACATATTAAAAATGTTATATATAGAAACAAAAAAATATATGAAGTATTTAAAAAATATGTTTAATAATACCCCACAAAAACACAACCCAAAAAAAGTTTTAAATTATTAAAAAAAAATATCTAATAACAAATAATACTGACAAATGGAATAACAAATAAATATAAAACAATAATATAATAAAAAATATAAGAAACTATAATATTATTCTACACATACCCTTTTTTATACGATTTCTTTTGTTTGTGTGTGAATAAAAAAAAGAAACAAAAAAAAAAAAAAAACAAATTTATAACGTAAAAATATCAAAAAAAAAATAAAATTTTATTTTAAAAAAAAAATCAAAATAATAATGATTTTTTTCTTTTCTTACACAAATTTTTTCAACCAGTTTAAAATATTTTTTTTTTAATTTTTAAGAAACCAATTTTATAAATTAAATTAAATATAATTTTATAATTAAAAAATAAAATTGGTTATATATTTTTTTTTATTTTTTATTTTTTTTTTATTTATATTTTTTTATATGTTAATAGATTCATATTTTATTTTAATTGAGTATATTATTATAAAGATAATAATTAAAATAATTCTATAAATGAAGGTACAAATATTTTATTAAAATTCAAATGGAGAAAATTTTATAAATTACATAATTTTTTTTTTTTTTTTTAGTAATTTTTTTTTATAGTAATTTTATTATTAGTTTATTATTAATTTAATATTATTATTTTTATTAATATTATTAATAAAATTATAAATATTGTTTTTATTACTTTTATTATTATTTTAAAAATAAAATTATTTATCAAACGAAATTGAATTTGAAATTGGTTTTTGATTTGGTAGAGATGGAGTGGCATGAACATTACCATTATTATCATAGTGTTGTTCAGTTGTGATGGTTGCTAATCTATATAAAGTTGCGAAAACCATTAAATGTAATAAAATTGAGTATATGAATAAAAAGAGACGACTATATTTATTTGAGAGGAAAAATCTTGAACTATTTAATATTACACGTTCGGCAGTATTCATTTCTTTATATCTACGATATTTCTCTTTTTTATTAAATGAAAGGAATGGGTTGATTGATTCTTCGTAAAGTTTACCATATCTTTCTTCTGTTTCTGGACCTCCATTATTGCTACCACTAGATACATCGACTCCTCTTTCAATATCATAGGTATCTCTGTTGCTTGATCTTTTACCGCCGGCACCAATATTTATACTACCACTATTATTACCACCACTTTTATTTTTATCGTAGGATTGTAAAAATCTAATCTTTTCGTAAAGTTTAATATTATCGTTTTTAAGAGATTGGGTTTCTTGACGACTGGTTTCCAATTGCTTTTCAAGTTTACTCTTTTCAATACCTAATTCATCGATTTTAGCTTTGAATCTATCTCTTTGACCAATTACAATTTCTAACATTTTATCATCTTTACCACCACTTGAAATATTTAATGATTGGTTGGTTGGGCTTGTTATTGGGTTCGATGTTATAACATTACTACTATTATTGCTACTGGCACCTGGCATTGGTAAGAGATCAGAGATATCACCAGATGAACTTCTTAAGTTACTTTGACTACTTGAGTTTGATTGTTGATAAACAAGAGTACCTGCATTTCCTCCAATAGCGTTGCTACTGCTGTTAATGTTGTTGTTAATGCTACCACCATTACCAGTATTTCTAGTTGATAAATCATCTTCTAATCTTTGAATTAATAAAAGTTGCTCCTCTTTAATACGTTGTAGCTCTTCAATTGCCAAATTCTTTTCATTTACATCAACTTCAAAATTACTTGTTAACAAACGAAGACGAGTTAATTCATTTTCTAATTGTCTATTCTTATCTTTTAATAGTTTGCTATCGGCAGAGTTATTTTGTGTTATTTCTTCTTGACCTACAATGGCTTGAAGTGCTTCCAGTTCTTTTTTAATCTTTTCAAACTCGACAGGTGATGGATTGTTTTGAATGTATTTATCTAATTTTTCGACCTTTTCTTTTTCTACTTCGTAAAGTCTTGAAAAGTTACTGGTAGAGTCTTTTTCTACATTGATTTGTTGTTTTAATTCAGAGATTTGATCAGAAAGTTTTGAGATTTCAGTTTCTTTTTGTAACATTTCTAATTCTAAATCAGCAACTCTCTTTACCATTGGTTGTAATGAGTTTTTTTCATGTACTGATTCTTCTCTAATTGATAAATTTTCTCTTTGTAATGTTGATAACTTATTTGAAACTCTTTCAAACTCTGTTGATAACATTTCAATTTCTGATTGTTTTGATTGTAATTCATCCTCTTTTTTATAAAAAAAAATAATAAAATATTAATATAAAATTTATGTTTTTTTAATAAAAATAGTAATAATAATAACTTACCATATTTAGTTTTATTATCTAATAATTGATTTTGAATTTCATTTTGTGAAATTGATAGTTTAGTTAATTCATCTTGTAGTTGTTCATTTCTTTTTTGAAGTGATTGTTCTTTCTGTTTAGATTGTTGTAGCTTTTCATTAAATTCTTGTTTCAATTCTAGTTCACGATTTTGAATTTTTTCCATAGCTGCAGATTCAGAACGGTGTTCATAATCTTTAATTTTATCTTCTAATCTACGAATTGTGACTTCTTGGTTTTGAATCTCTTGAAATTCCTTTTTGAAATCGTCTAGTTGCATTTGAAGCTTCTTGTTTTCAAGCTCTAATTTAGTAGTGTTGTCAACTCTACCATACTCTTCTAGAGCTGCAGATAATGCTGGTACTGGGTCACTTAGTTCATTTAGATCCTTATAAACACTAAGAAATACAGTTTCTGAAAATTTGCTTCTTTTTGTTAATTTATCTACTTCTTCTTGATAAAGCTTTAATAGTGCACCAAATTGTTTAATCTTTTCGTCGTCTGCTAGTTTTTTAAAGTCTTGAGTTTGTTTAGCTAATACTTTTCTAGATTTCAAACAGTCATCTTTTAATGCACCAATTTGTGTAACATTATCGCTAAAATCATTCTTTTTCTTATCAATATTAAATGATTTCCATGTTTCTAAAATTGATTCAAATGAATTATTACTATTATTGTTATTATTATTATTATTATTGGTTTGTTGTTGTGTAATATTTGATGGTGTCATTGAGCCACTTGGAAGTCCAACAGTAGATGATGGTGATGATGCAAATGAACTTATATATGGTGTATTTGTTTCTGTATTGGTTGTGGTTGTTGGGACCACTATGGGTGGTGAGGATGGTAATGATTGTTGCTGTTGCGACATTTTAATTTAATATTTTTTTAATATTTAAAATAAATATTAAAATAAAAAAATGAGAAACAATTATTATATTATTATCTTTTTTTTTTTTAATATTAAATATTGAAAAGATTTAATTTAAAAATTATAAAAAAAATAAAAAAAAAAAAATAAAAATTAAAAAATTAAAATAAAAAAAAATTATTTTTTTATAAAAAAAAAAAAAAAATAATAAAAATAATAATAAAAATAATAATAATAAAAAAGGGATAAAAATAGTCATAATAAATATAGTAATAAATATTTAAAAATGTGTTGTTTTAATAGTAGAGATAATCTTCCACAAATTTACCAATTAGTTAAATTCGAAATTGGGTTTTATGGACAGAATTGTTTTTTTTTAGAAATTTTGATTTTTTTTTTTTCAAAATCTCTATTTTAAATAAAGGATTTTGTTTTTTTTAAATTTCGCTAAGGAAAAAAAAAGTATAAATAATTAATTTTTTTTTTTAAAGTATATATTTAAATATAGGTGTAACAATTAGAACATTTAAATAATGAAGTTAATGGTTTTGTTTTTAGTCTTTTCAAATGTATTGGTTTCTTTTACAAATGCTATGGTAAATATATTTATATATAAATTCAAAAAGTTAATTTATTATTATTAACACATTTTATTAAAATTAAAAAAAAAGGTTTGTTTTTCAGGAAAAGAATGTTTTGAATATGATGAACCTTTTTGTGTTGCTTCAGCTACTGGTTATGGGTACTGCACCCCACCATCTTTATTGGGAGAGCCATGTAATGATACACCAAGTAGTAACGGAGTTTATTATTATCTTGGACCATGTGAAAATGGCACTAAATGTTCATATAACAATGATCTATTTAGTATAATTTGCCAAATTGAATAGGGTATATAAAAACAAATAATAATAAATAAAAATAAATATTTTTAAAAAATTTTTTTATTGTTCTGATTTTTCATAAAATAATTGTCTTCTTTCTACATTCATTATAACATCCATATCGTAAATTGTTTTTTCATTTTTAGTGGTTGTTTCTACTTTTCTGTGGGTGCCTTTTAATTGAGCAAATGAAAGCTTTTCATCGACAACTGGGAAATCTATAATTAGGTTGTATTGTGACTCGACCAATGTTCCATTTAAATCTGTATAACTTCCATAAAGTTGGCATTGACTAAAACTATCATCTAACACACCACCATGAATCATTTCAAAATCTGTATCGAAAAGAATAGTTAATTTAATTGATCTACCTAAAACTAAAATTGATGAGTCTTTAATTTCTTTAATTATAAAAAAAAAAAAAGAGGGTTAATAAAAAGGGTGTGACTGATTAATGGTGATAATAAAATAATTACGAGAAACAAAATAGCCATTTCTATCTTTTGTATGATTTTCCATATTTTTTATATTTGAATTAAATTCTTCGATTGCAGATTGTGACTTTGATTCTTCCATATCTTTAGTTTTCATTTGTAGATTTTTGAAACCAAACGATTTAAAATCATAGATTCTAAATGAATTAAATTTCTTTTCGTCCATTGGAGCGCTCTCTTGATCAATGCTTGAAATTGGATTAATGAATGATGAAAATGGTACTTGATTTGAAACAATTTTGTATATAGATTCATAGTCATGTTCTTTATCTATTTCTTTTAAAGCTTGTAATCTTTCAAATATTTCTGGTGCCATTTTGCTTCTTAATTGGGCCATTTCCTTCCACATTCCTAATAATGCAGATGCCTTATAGGCCAATGAAGTCAATGCTGAAAGTTTTTGATAAAGAGTTGTCTTATCATATCTGCCCGAATCTTCCAATTGTTGAACCTTTTCAATTACATTTCTAATTGTATTTGATACTCTTGGTAATAAATATCTACTTGATACAGCTATACCCAATTGATCATTTAAAATTTCAATATAAATGGCTTTATCTTTAACTAAATCTTTATTAATATTTAATAATTTCCAAATTTTATCTAAATGATCTTTATTAAATGTCTTTTTTTTATAAAAATTAGTAATTAAAATAATTTATATATATTAAGTAGAAAACATAATATTATAAACCCAATGCTTACATGTGGTGTTTTATTTGATAAACCAACAAGTTGGTAAAGAAAAAGTCCTGCTGACATTCTGTCAATTACTGAGATTTCATTTTCATTACATTTGATTATTTTTTCTTGAATGTCTAAAAGCTCTTGTGGTATTTTTGAAGTATCAATAAACTCTTTTTGTTTAGATAATAATAATTTATTTGCACTATTAAAATCAATACCAATTGATTTATTATTGTTATTTATATTATTGTTTATGTTACTATTGTCATTACTTGAAGAGTTAATCGTTGAGGTTGTATAAAATTTTTTGATATTATTATTATTATTATTGGTTATATTTTTTTTTACAAAATGGTTACAACTAATATTTTTATTTAAATATAATGGTAGCCTACTGATGGTAGTATTTCTTTTAAAAAGATTTAGTAATGTGTGATTATATATTTTATTCATTTTATTATTAAATGAAAAATAAAAAATAAAAATGAAAAAAAATTAAAAAAATAAAAAATTTTGAAAAAAATCCAAATTTCTTTAAAAAAAAATTAATTTGGATTTGAAAATATATTTTTGATAATGGGGTTATAATTTTGATTTTAATTTACAAAATAATTATTAAACTAAAAATTAACAATTAAAATTTTGATTTTTTTTTTTATTATTTTTAATATCTATTGTTTTTTATAAAATAACAATTACTACAAATATTAATATTAACTTCAATATTAGAAAAGAATGATTCTAATGGATCATCGTGAGCACTAAAACAAAGACTGCATGACCAATTAGTTGTATTATAAATTGACAAAGGACTATCGATTCTATCATATTCTTTGTTTAAAAAAAAAAATTTGTTCGGAAGTTGTCTATTATTATTTGATATTGGCATAGAGGGCAATATATTTGATTTATTGAAACATTTAGAACATACATCATAGTCTTTGCAAGTGGTGCAATGGTAAATATGAGTGTGTCTATTAATTGTAGTTTGACAAATGTTGCAATTTGCGCCTAGTGTGTTATAAATATCATAAGGAAGCATACAAAAGAGAGGGTGATTATGACGATCTATATGGTGTTCCTCTAATAAAGAAACTGATGGTAGTGATGGGGTTTTGGTTTCAAAGACACAGTTTCTGCAGAGTTTGAAACCATTACATTCTAAACAAATATACATTTCACTATAACCAAAACCTTGGTTGTAACAAAATGAGCATGTCCATCTGCTACAGGATGGTTGTTTCTGAACTCTATGTGGATGTGGACTTTTGGTTATTCTTTGATGATAGGTGTTTGCTGGTGTTGAAGAAAATGACATTGATGGTGACAAAGATGTAATTACAGTTTGTGTATAGGTTGGTGTGGTGTTTGTGGTTGTTGGTGTTATTGGTGGGGCTGGTGATTGTAAATGCTTTTTAATACTTGAGTTTAATGATGATGTTTTACTACTATAGGGTGAATCTTTATAGTTATCATAATATCTATTGTTATAGCTTGGTTCACCAAAATCTTCTTTGATCAACCCTTTTAATAATTCATTTTCTTTTTCTGTTTTAGAAATTATATCTTCATAATAATAATTTGAATATTTTTCTTCATTATCATTTTTAGAGAAAACTGTTTTATTTATTGAATTATTGCCATTGCTAATATAATTAGAACTATTACTTTTACTATTATTATTATCTATATTATTATTATTATTATTATTAATATTATTATTATTATTATTATTATTATTATTGTTATTATTATTATTGGCTTTATTATTTATTTGTAACTCCAAAAGCAATGATAAAACCAAATGGTCATATGTTAATATCTCATCTATATTTCCTTTTAACTCCTTTCTGCAACATGGACATGTTTTTTTATTTAGTACCCAATCGGTGGCACATGGTTTATGAAAAATATGTGAGCATGGTAATCTATATGGTTTCTCTTCTTCATCAAATCCTGATAAACAAATCGAACAATTATAACTCGACATGTTTAATACAATAAATAAGGATTTGTTTATTTATTTGTTTACAACAAATTAAATTGAATTTTAAAATTTTGACAAAAAACAAAAATTCAATAAAAAAAAAAATTAAAAAATAAATAAAATTTTTAAAAGAAAAAAATTAAAAAAATATTTTTGTTGATCAAAAAAAAAAAAAAAAGAAAATAGTTAGAAAAATTTGTGTGTTTCAATAATAGAAATAAATAAATTCACATTAATATTTATAAATATATATAAAAATAATATTATTATTATTATAAAAAAAATCAATAACCTTTTTTAAGTATTTTTTTTTATTATAATTATTTGTTTCCAACTTATTTTTTTTACTCAAAAAAAAAAGAAAAAAATAAAATATTTTAATTTTTAAAAAAATTTATTTTAATTAAAATTTTTTTTTTTTATAATTTTTTTAATAATTTTTTTAATATTACAATTAAAAACTTAACACACACTATTCCTTTAAGTTGTGGCACCTATTAACCACACCCTTTCTTTTTCATTATAATTTCTTTAATATTTATTTATTTTAATATTTCTTTAATTAAAAAATATATATAATAT